CTGGATTTTACTTGCCAAGTTACAAAATCTGATGTGCCCTGCCCCTGCCCACCCCCACCCCACCTCTTGCTGACTGTGCTGTACAAACCTGCCTTGAGTTCCCTGTCCCTCTTCGGCCTCCAGAGTACAGGCGGTGCTGCCATGCCTGGCCTGCAGGGCTTTGGTTGGGTGCAGAGGAGGCACTGCGAACTGCCCCTACCCTACTGTTCTGCTTTTTGCAGCGCCACACAGTGGAGCCATGAGATATTGCTGAAAATCGGATGACAGTGTCCAGGAGTTTCTACGGGTTTTTGTTTGTTTGTTTTTTTGGTACTTGGGATCAAACTTGGGCCCTTGTGCTCATAAGGCAGGTGGCAGAACCATTGAGCTAAATCCCCAGCCCATAAGGATTTTCTATTCTTGTGGTTCTGCACATTTTACTAGCTCCCCGGGGCTCCCCATGAGTTGGACATGCCTGTTTGCATCATTGCTGCTCAAATGTCACAGCAGTGTTCTCAGCAGCTGGGTACTTGTTAAAAATGCTCTAGCCCAGGGCCCACCCACACCTGCTCATTCAGTGTGTGCTTCACAAGATCCCAAGTCGATACATTAAAATACAAGAGAAGGGCTGGGGATTTAGCTCAGTGGTTCCGCCGCCTGCCTTGCAAGCACAAGGACCCGAGTTTGATTCCCCATACCAAAAAAACCAAAAAAATCTCAACATAAAATACAAGAGAAACTGCCTTAGTTATCAAAACTTTCTGTGCAGTGTGAATGGTCTGCCCAGTACCAGGCTGCTTAAGTGTTCACATTTCACAGAATCCGCTAAGTTCATTGAAAAGAATTAACTGAGTGAAAATGGTCCTAGAAGCACGGGAAGGCCGGGTGGATTGTCTCTGTGCCCATCATGTTGATTAAACAAGGCACCATCTTGAAATCTGCATCCAGCTCAAGGTCTTGTCAGAACCAGAAGTGACCTGGGATGCCCCAGAGGTGGCATGAGACTCCGGAGGCTGCAGTGGGGAGGACTGCAAATATGAGGCCAGACTAGGCTGCAGGGAGAGTGTAGCAGGAGACTACTTCGGAAAAGGAGAGAAAAGAAAAACAAAACGAAGTTACCTGCAGTTTGCCTCCTGTTCCCTCGGTTGCATCAGGGTGGTTGCCTTCATTAGTTTTAAGGCGTAGAAAGAACCACTGTTGCATCATTGGCCTGGGGCCCAAAGGGACCCTAGAGACTCAGGATTGGCTCCTTGGTAAAAGTTGGAGGGCCCTGAAGCAGGACGCAAGTTGGCCCCTAGGCCGGAGGAGGCTGTCAGGTCCCAGGCATGCGGGCTGTCTTGGGTGTTCTGCAGTGCGGCTCCTCCTCTTCAACTCTGTTCCCAGTCTGCAGCTGAGTCCCTGTGTAACTAACACTCAGGCTGTGCTCCCTAGCTGAGCTCCCTGATGCCCGGTCAGGTGTAGCCACAGTTACGTGGGCTTTTTTGGTAAGGTTCCCCTTCTGTGTCAGTACAGGGATGTTAAACACCATGTGGATAGATTGTGTATTGATGGTTGTCTATCCTGTGTGTGAGTCTCTTTTGATCTTACTTTATCCAGTTTTTTAAAAGACTGGTTTTGTTTGCAACTAATTTTGGAATTTTTAATAAAAGTAGTGTGGATATGTGGTTTAAATGGTAGACATAGTAAAAAACGTTTCCTACTTGTGGTAGCTGTGTGCAGATCGGAACATTACTTCCCGTACTTCTGTGTGTGCCTGTGTTACCCAGCTACACTGGGACCTGGAGTTTGGAGATTGTTCCACAACAGTTCATTGGTTGGTGTTTATTTCTTTTCCTGAGGTTGCTTATAATTTGGGCATGATTGTGCACTCGAAAAGATTAATATTTGCCTTTGGAGTGAAATTGGTGTGGCTTCTGTAACTACTATATGTGCTTCACAGCTGAACATTTTAACTATGTAAAGTAGATGATAGGAAGCGTTTGAGACTTCAGGGCCTTATGAAACTTGAGATTTCTAGGCTTTAAATAAAAATTTGTATTTTATCATAAAAAATCCCCCAGACCTACAATTTACTTGTGCAGCAACAATTTATGAATATCCATATATTGCAGAGCAGTTTCATATTTAAGGCTTTTGTAGTGATTACAGTTTCAGAGTGAAGCTTTAGGAGTTGAAATTTAGAATCTGTATTGTCTACATAGTTGTCCTAATGAATTTAAGAACTGTACTAGATTGTCCTTTCAAGGGAAATTTAAGACTTTTTTTTCGTATCTGAAGCACCCTACTAAAACAATTTTTGCTAACTTTAAAAAGTAAGCCCACCTTACATTAGATGCAAATCATCATAAAAGTTAACAAGCTCCCAGGCATGGTGGCTTGCGTCTGTAATCCTGGTACTTGGGGAGGCAGAGGCAGGAGGATTGTTGTGAGTTTGAGACCAGCCTGAACTACAAAGTGAGACCCTGTCTCAAAAACAAACAAAAAAACAAGCTAACAAAATTTGTGTTGTAATTTTCTTAGGTGTGAATGAATAGGATTGCATTGGTATATAGGTGAATGTCCTTATTCCTGCAGAGTGGGTGTTGAAGTAATTGTAGCCAAAGTATTTTGATCTTTGCAACTTTCAGATGATTCAGAAAAATAGATTACATGTGTAGCAAGTAGGGCAGAACATTAAGATTTACATGCCCCCACCATGTCTTTGAAATTTTCTAAAGTAAGAAGTTGGGATAGATGTATCCCTTAAAAGTTAACATAAAGCTGGGTGCTGTGCCGTGTGCTATAGTCCTAGCACTCAGGAGCCTGAGGTGGAAGAACAGAGCACTTGAGCCTAGGCGCTAGAGGCCAGCCTGGGTGACAAAATTTTTTAAAATATGACTTAGGCCTGGGGATTTAGCTCAGTGGTTCCCCTGCCCTCCTCGCAAACGTAAGGACCGGAGTTTGATCCCGGTACCAAAACACACACACACACACATAAAATTTAACTATGCCCCCCCCCCGGTTTTTGTTTTTCTCTTTTCTTCACACCTTTTTTATTTGTATTTTATTTTTTTCCCAGATATCCATCAACTTTATTAATACCAGAATTTGAATTGCACGGTTTTGTGCTCATCAGAGATCTTGAATTGTTTGGTCAAAGCAACCTGGAAGTATTTTTATTTTTGTTTCGAGACGGGGTACAAATTACCCAGACCAGCCTCACACTTAAAATTCTCCTGCCTCAGCCTCTGGAGTAGCTGGGATTATAGGTGTATGCAACTATGTTTGGCTTAGCGACTGATATTTTTAATTTCAAACAGAGGCATAGTTTCAATGAACTTAGTCTGAAAGCATTCTCTTTGACTTTTGTGTCATTGAGGCTGCTTTCATGTAGTTTATTATTTATTTATTTTATTCTTTGGTTAATGGGGATCGAACTCAGGACCTTGCACTTGGGAGGCAGGTGGCGGCTTCACTGAGCTAAATCCCTGGCCCTCGCTTTCATGTTTTATCTGTTGGGAAGATACTGAAAAAGATATTTTAAAAAAAGACAAAATATGTGTTACTTAAAATGTGAAGTTTTGGGCTGGGGATTTAGCTCAGTGGTGCTCTCACCTCCCTCACAAGCATAAGGTCCCTGAGTTCGATCCCTGGTTCCCCCCCAAAAAAAAATCGCAGGTATAAAGATGTTAAGTTTTGAGTATTTTGATCACTCTTAATCATGAATTTGCAATACTTTGAAAATGCCATTTTTAACAGTCTTTTTGTGGAAAAGGGATTAAACAATTTGATTGAGGCTTGCTTGGGCCACATGGTGAGGGCCCCCCCCCCTGCTATGTTTTCTGGCACACACCTATAATCACAGCATTTAGGAAGGCTGAGGCAGGAGCATTGTAAATTCAAGTCCCATATTTTGTATATATATATATATATATATATATATTTGTACTGGGGATTGAACTTGGGTCGTTGCGCTTGAAAGGCAGGCGATGGCACCACTGAGCTAAATCCCTGGCCCTTCAAGTCCCATTTGAGTAATTTAGTGAAACCCTGTTTCAATTTTTTTTGGTACTGGGGATCAAACTTGGGTCCTTACACTTGCGAGGTAGGTGGCAGAACCACTGAGCTAAATCCCTGGACCCCTGTCTCAGTATTAATAAAGACAGGTCAAATAGTTCAGTGGTTGAACAACTTTGGGGTTCAATTACAAGTGCATCCCCCCAAAAAAGAAAAAATCCTGGGAATAGTGATGCATGCTTGTAATCCCAGCTACTTGAGGCCTAGGCAGGAAGATTGTATGTTCATCGCCAGCCTGGGCAATTTAGCAACATCCTGCTAGTCCTGAGGAAAGGATGAAGGCCAGAAAATGCTTTCTTGGACTTTGGTAAAATCAGAGACTTAGTGTACCCAGGTATTGATCTGGTGGGCCCTTGCACATAATAGATAAATACTTTAGTACTGAGCTGCACCTCTAATCCTTGGCCGTTTTTTGTTATTTTTTTTTCTTCTGGCCTTTTGAAGGGAAAAGTAGTGCAAACTTTTTTTGAGATGGAAAGAGATTAGATGAAGTAGCAATTCTGTCCTCAGATTAATAGAAGAAAAGATTTGAGGTCATCAAGTGATTTGCAGAACTGTGAAGATAATGCTTTGATTCTGAATTATTTATGGCTGGAAGGTGTTACCTTCCTGTGCTGCTTAGAACCATGAGATTAGATGTGATATACTGTGGGGAGGTGCCTGTGGGGTTTGTTTTCTGTAGGTTGTACAATTGGGCAATGGGCAGTTGTATCTGCCAGAAGTTGCTTAAATTATCCCATATCTGGTTTCCAGGTACTGTTGTATTTCTGCTTTGGTTTGCACTGTATTGCCAACTAAATAATTTCCAACTTTTGCAGTATTGCTGTTTTCCAATAGAGTATATGGTTAGTATGCTTTATTTGTGTAGAGCAGGATGTCATGGTAATCTTAACTAAATATTTCTTAGATCATATTCATGTTAGTGAATTTCTAGGAATAACACAGCCTTTTTTCTTCTTTTGTAGCATAAGCAGTACTATAATGGATGTAGACAGCACAATTTCCAGTGGGCGTTCAACTCCAGCCATGATGAATGGACAAGGAAGCACTACTTCTTCAAGCAAAAATATTGCCTATAATTGTTGTTGGGACCAGTGCCAGGCTTGCTTCAACTCTAGCCCAGATCTGGCAGATCACATCCGTTCCATACATGTAGATGGTCAGCGAGGAGGGGTTGGTTTTGTCATTTCTTTTTTTTTAATTCCCTGTTTTCATTAATTTATTTCTAATTGCAAGTTAGGCCTTTTCCCCCTCTGAAAGTAATTTGGAATTATTTTTACATTAGGGTTACATAGGTTTTTCAAATGATTTTTTTCTTTTAATTTATTCTGTATCCGTTTGATAGAATTAAGCGAAATAGGATATGTTATGTTGGATTTTGTTTGCTTTTAGATGTTATTTTGAAGAAATTGGGTTTTTAAAAATATAATTGAATACAGTATATTATAAGGTTGTAATATTTTGAATTGAAAACATACAGCATTAAGGCTTGTCCTGGGTGTACCTCATCAGAAGAGAATTGGTTATCCCAGATCATGAAATCAGCTAGAGACTACTGGTACAGGGTTAGTATATGCAATCCTATGAGTCGACAGCCTGAACTCAGTATTTGTGAGAGAGAATTGATCATGTTTCCCAGGTCTTGTCAGAGTTTATTTAGGTAAACAGTTCTGATTAATCAGTATCGACCTATACCCTTAAAGGAGTACATTTAATTTTGTTCATGTAATTTCACATAATAGGTAGTGAATAAAGAGCTCAGCAAATTAGGTGAGTCAAAGTGTAACGTACCAAGGTATTAATTTATAGTTATCCTCAACTTCATGTGGGTTTGTCTTGAGTAGTTACCATGCTGAGAACAGTTTCCAGACGCTGTTACTGTATTAGGCGATGTGTCACCAGCCTGCCATCACTTTTGAGGTATGCTGCTGCTAAAATGGTTAAAATCGTCACAGTGTGACTGAGTGGGTGGCTGAACTGCTTCCAAGGTTGTATCGATATTTTAGATTATAGTATTGATCTTTTTTAAAACATGAAACTGGGGTTGGGGCTATAGCATGCATGAGGGCCCTGGCTTCGAGCCCTAGCACCACAAAATAAAGCAAAAAACATGTAACTATGTAAGTAAGCATCTTAAACATTTCAATCAGTGGTATCACTTTTACAGTTTCTCTGCAAATATTCATCCCTGTTGCAATATATGATAGTATATCAGCTGTCTTGCTTACTCAGGCTTGAGAAGTAAACATTTGTGTTCTTACTGAGTTCAGTATGTTTGAGTAACCAGTCAAAAAAAATTTGTTTTGAGACAAAATCTCATTATGTAGTTAGGCTGACCTTGAACTCAACCGTGTAGCCCAGGCTGGCCTCAAATTCGTGGTCTTCTGCCTCATCTTCCTGATTGCTGGCATTATAGGTTTGTACCAACATGCATGGCTAACCAGTCAATGAACTGTGTTCCTAAAACCCTGTTCAGTGCTCCGCACTCCCCAAGCTATTTCATGTGAAGTGTCTTACCAAGTTGGTTTTCTGGCTGTTGCAGATCTGGCTCCTGTGAGCCGGTGCTTGAACTCTCTTAGTACATGCCACTCTTGAACCATGGCATATGCTTTTTTTCACTTAATTTAGCAACTTTCTTGTCACTTGGCTTAATTACTAAATATAGGATCATGAGTTATGTAGAAAGCTTACTGGGTGTCTCTTAGTAGGTATGGGAGAATTTCACATTTCTAAGTCTTGGCTCCTACAAATTGAGTTGGCACAGAGTTTTAGGAGAATGTTTTTGCAGATTTGTAGGAAAAAATGCAGTTACATGGTGTTTTCTGAATTAGATTTACAACATAACCACTGCAGTTACACAGACCTTAGTGATGTTACAGGACCAGTCATGAGATCCTGGTATTTGTCATAAGTTTGTGTGTGTGTGTGTGTGTGTGTGTGTGTGTGTGTGTAAGCACCCATGCATGCCCATACGATATGTGTTGGGGGATTAACTGGAGATTAAATCCAGGGAGCACTGAGCTGTACCCTCTTTTTATCTTGAGACAAAGTCCTACTAAATTGTCCAGTCCGGCCTCGAATTTGGAATCCTCTTGCCTCAGCCTCTAGAGTAGCTGGAATTATAAGCGTGGGCCACTGTGCCTGGTTCATAAATATAATCTTGTTGAAATGAGAATCCATTGTCATTTCTTGAGACCTTTACTTTTTTTTTTTTTTTGAGACAGGGTCTCACTATGTAGTTGAGACTGACCTGGAACTATGTAGCCCAGGCTGGTCTCAAACTCAAAGTGATCCTCCTACCTCAGCCTCCCTAGTGCTGGGATTACAGGTGTGCACCACCACGCCCGCCTGAGGCCTTTATTAAAAATTTTTACCTTAGTACAAATGGTAAGATTCTTTAGCTAGCTGGGTGTGGTGGTGCACTTGGGAGGCTGAGGAAGGAGTATTCCCAAGAGTTCAAGGCCAGCCTGGGCTATATAGTTCAGGGCCAGCCTGAAATACAAAGGGAGACA